TGTCCCAGGGTTGGTGCTAAGACCTGGCAGTTTTGCATCGCTGTGTTTGTGCGTTTTCTGTGTCGCGGTAGGCTGGGGCTCTTTCTGACTCCGTTTATGTTGGGCTCCTGTGGGGTCAGTTCCTAGCTGCCAAGAGCTTTATCCAAGCCCGTGCTGCTCAGCCTTATTTTCAGTGCCATGAGCTCCGTGGACTCCGTGAGCTCCGTGTATGTCTTGCTCGGTTAACCAAGAGCGCCCTGTGCTGGAGACAGCCCCTGCTGGCGGCGTTTTTATAGTAGTTGGTTGCATTTGCAGCACTCCGTGGCTCTGTCAGACTCTCTTTGTGTTGGTCTTTATTGCAGGTGCTGTGTGGATTCTTTGAACAGTTGGCCGGTGTACCTGTTGGTTCGGAGGTGGCCCGACCTTGCTGTTTGTCGTGCTGGGTTTCGTCATCCGTATCCCTGCTGTCAGCGCCCTGGGCGCGTGGAGCGGTCGTTATTGCAGAGCCGGTGTTCAGTTCAAGCCCTAGTTGGCCGTTTAGTCAACCCTCAGCGGGCACATGTTTGGCATTCTCGCGTGTCTATCGTCCATTCCTTCAGATGGCGTCCGTCAGCGTTTGTTGAGGGATCCGTCGCGTTTGTGGCCGGTGGGTCAGTCTGTGCGCGGTTGGAGAGCGCTGGTTTGACCTCGTCCTTGTGGTTTTGGCAGCGTTCTGTTTGTTTGCTCTTTTGCCTGTGTAGAGATGGCGTGTCCGCCGTCCTTGCTGCTGGAGTATCGTTTGGAGGTCGTTGAGGCGTTTTGCTTGGGGAGCTTTATTTCGTGTCGCTGTGTGTGCCTGTCTGGCAGCTCTCGCGTCCTTTGTCCCTCTAGCGGCCCGTCGCGTTGCGCTGTTTTGGTGCTCAGTTTGTTTGTTATTTCCGCTAGAGGGGGTATCTTCTCCTTTGGCATTTACCTATGGAGCAACAACTAATGCGAGCTTGCGTAAGTAAGCTGGGTTAGTTGGGCGTAAGGCCCAATGCGTAACTGTTAGACTAACTGTTTCGCAACGGCCCGTGTCCTCAGGGCCGTCATTTATTGCGCGCATTAAGCTGGTTAGCTTATCTTGTTTTTGTTGTTCAGCGCGCGCCCGCCCGCCCGCCCGTTTCTGGCGCAGCCTCGCGTTAGTTCAGTTGCGGTGTCTCTTTCTCCGTTCGTTAGGCCCGTCTTCTTCGGGCCTCTCAGTCCATTTCTCTCTTTCATTCTTTGTAACAGAAAATGGCATTTACCTATGGAGCAACAACTAATCCTTCTGTTCCGGGGAGTACTGAGGGCTGCGAGGGAAGCGCTGCGATGCTATTGCCCTCGGGGTTTTTTTTTTTTTTTTTTTGTGTGTGTGTGTGTGTGTGTGTGTGTGTGTGTGTGTGTGTGTGTGTGTGTGTGTGTGTGTGTGTGTGTGTGTGTGTGTGTGTGTGTGTGTGTGTGTGTGTGTGTGTGCTGCAGCTGGCCGGGCCCACAAGCAAGTGCACGCGATGGCAGATGGCAAAAGTCACACTAATGTGGGTGGGACTGGTGCAACACGGACGCACGCTGGGCCCTGAACAATTGTGGCTTTCGGTGCATGCATACCTGTTGTATAAGCTCCGCGAACAGCTCGTGGACGCCCTTGGAGATAAGGTACTGTACATGACGACAGCAAATCCGAACGTTAAGGTAGGCTTTCCCATCGACGAATCAGGTGCAACACAGAGTTTTGTTCATGCCACCGTGAAGCGGTCGGTAAAGGCAAAGGGTAGCGGCAAGAGCTCCCCCCTAATGTTTATAGTCGAAGGCCCCAAAGGCCTTTCTCTGCAAAGAATCCACCTACCTGCTGGCGATCCTCGTCCTTATGTGCGAACGCTACACTCACGCCATCCTCGGTGCTGGAAACGGCAACCTCTCCCGCTGCATCTTTAGTCTTTAGCATTAGATGCTTGAGCCTGCATTGTAGTCGCATTGCTTTAAGCAAATACACTTGCGCGCCTTCACAGTTAGACTTACATGTGCTGCTCAACACTCTCCGGCTTGTCATGTAAGACACTGACAACCATTTCCTTGACAATTTTGTCAATTCGCTGCTGTGCTAGGTAGTTCTCAATTTCCTTGACGACGTTTTCAGGCTTTTCCAAAGCCATTATATCTCAGTAACCCAATCACTCAATGGCGAGCTAATACCTGACCTTAATTTTTCATACTAAATACGACTATTGTCCCACGGCAAAGGGTTCTGCCAGTGAAAGCTGGTCTTCGCGTGACTTCGCGGAACGTATAATAAGATAATCCATAGATCTCAAAGTTAGTAGAAAATTTAAATGCAAAAGAGACACAAAATTGATGTCACCGCGAAAGTTAGCGTTACCGCGTAACGCGAAGGCTTTCGCTGTATCGGTACGGCACCACCAAGGTATAGCTGACTGAACCAGGCAACACAAGATTCCATCGCTATCCCCATACACAAGGGGTAACACACCACACAACCTAATCACGCTACATTTTCTAACATTCTCTACCCATTTGTCTATTCCACCATCATTCCAAGACGCCCTTGCCTATTTCTCTCCCCCCTCCCCCAAGCTTAATGACGTGTTTGCCTGCGTCCGCAAAAGCACCAGGTGCGTTTCTCCCGGTTGTACCACTAGGCGAAACTCCAAGGCCCTCGATGGCTCGGCCGTTCCGTTCGCCATGTGTCCTGTCTCAAACACCCGGAACAGCGGAGCGACGTATCGTACACACCTTGCTGACACCTGCAACAGCAGGTGCAGGCCGCCCACGGGCAGAGACACGCTAATCTGCAGGCGCTCTCAACAAGGGTAATCTTCGTCTGAAGACGCAAAACTATGTTCACCCGCATTACTGCGGCACGCCTGGCTGCCAGCTTCCCCGGTCCCAACTCTCTGGCTACACTCCTCCGCCATTGTACGGCACCACACCAGCTGTCCGGAAGACGGGAACATGTAATGAGCCATCAGGAAGCCCCCTGCCTCAACACGAAACTGCACCAGGCTGCTGCACTCATGCGCGCATAGGGAAGAAAAACCCGGGCCCAACCCTCGCTTCACAAACAATCCCGGCATCAAGCTTGCCATATCCCTACGCCCCTTACCTGCGATGCACCCTCCAGCGGAAAATTGTTATTGTCATAGTCCACCCTGTCCGCCAGCCACCGCACCGCTGCCGGCTCCCAAACAAGCGTACCCCCCAGCCTGGCTGCCCGACGTGCGTAATTGAACGACAGCTCCCTCTCCAGTAGCACCTCCACCTGCGTAAGAAAAAGGAACAAAAACGTCTAACGTACGTCAAACGGCGGCGCAAGTAGTAACCTCCTCCCAATTCCCCAATTCCCCAATCCCCCAATCTCAACCTGTTCATTTTATGTTTCCGCCTTTCCAGCCCCCTCAACCCCATTCACCTCCCCCCTGGTGAGCGGGTAGAAGGCCACGTAATGGTCAACGGTGGCGGCAAACGCGACCGTGTCGCCAATGCCTTCACAGTTGGCTGCGCGCCACGCCGTCAAGGAGACGTTGCGCAGGATTCGATCCGCTGCCTCTGGAGGGATCTGCGCGGGGGGGTTGGGGAGCAAGTGACCGTCCACATCGTGCTGGGCAAGACGGGCATCATGGACCACGATCACGGGTAACGTCAGGTTTGCTGCGAAACGTTGACCCCGCTAACTCCGCCAGAAAGGCCTCTATGCCTTAAAAATGCACACACTTGCGCACACGACATCCACCACTCTGTGCGCCCAGGCGCAGGTTTGGCATCGTTCCAACAAAACTTTCATCAGAGTCCTCGCTGGCGTACATAATGTACACAACATAATGTACACACCCCGCAGCACCACGCATGTATGGGACGGGTCCTCTCTTCTACTGGGGCTTCATCCGTCGTTCGTGCCAGTATACCCCATGCCTACGCTCCCAACCCTTTCTTTTGTAAACAAGCGCTACGGCCCCCTGGACGGCAGCCCTGTGCGACGGGCAGTCTGGCACCCCGCCTCCAGCTGGGGTTTGCCGCTGCGCCTGCTTCTCCGTAAACCAGCCAGTCGCGTCGGCAACAACCGTGCAAGCGGCTTTCCTTTCTGCATTAACCAACCGAAGCACGTGTTCACCTGGCTCTTGTCGCCGTTAGCCTCCCGGAGCAAGTTGGCAAGTTGCAAGAAACCCAGATTGGACTCCAGCATGATGATGGAGCTGTCGGCCAGGGAGAGCGAGAGGGTAAAAGGAAAAAGAAGCGAAAGTAGATGTACGCAGCTTACCACCCCACCCGAACGTGAAGTGCGACATCCCGCGGAACGGGGGACGGGGACGCTGTGGGGAGGGGTTATGTGTGGCCGTAACAACACCCGCGGCCCCTGAGTGCAGGCAGCGCCTTGGGCCGCCCATTAAAAAGTGCAGGACATGGGGAGTAACTCTGTTTGCTTCGTGCTGTCACGCTTCGGGCCGTCATCCTTTATGCCTTTTAGATATCTAGGACGCTGGATACCCCCCGTTCTTAGCCTTTCCAAATATGCGACCCGCATTCTCGAGCCGCTTACTGGCTGAGATCCAGGTTCACGATCTCCGGGTGCTGCACCAGCTGCCGCAACATGCTGCGACTGGCGCAATCCAGCTTGTCGTATTCCTCAATTACCAGTAGGGCCTGTGGTGTGGAGCGTAGGTGGTCTAAAATGGCCTCGCGCACCATGGCCAGTTGACCGGACCGTTCCTCTGCCGTGTACGTGATCCCGTACAGTACCTACACCGCAGCGGCAGCCATCGTCGCAGTGGAGAGTTAACTCACGTGGTAAATTCCAGGTATTCCACGAATATCTCCAGAAGTCATATCCAAGGATTACCGGAGAACATTGCTGCGGACTGTAAAAAAAACCGATGAGGGTCTCTTCACATGTTGGCATTTTGGCGCCTCTCACAGCGTCGTGCTGCGCCAATGGTACAGCTTTCTGCACTGTAACCTCCTCCCTGTCCCGTATGCTACTTAACTATACGCTTAATGAACGCGCTAACCTAACGAACGCAGCACCTAAGCCCATTCCAACAAAGCAACTGAACGCAAACAACCGCCTCGTCAAGCTGCCATAGGCCGCCTCCTTCCCCGCCCTGCCCCAGCCGCGGCCGCACCTTGGCTCCAGCACAGCCCTCCCCCGGGCAGCTCTTTGCCGTGGCAAGGTCCCGGTTATAAAGCGCCTTGGCAAGTAGCGTGTGTGTGAACGTCTTGCCGGTCCCGGGCGGGCCGTGCACCGAGATGAACAACGGCTTGCGCCTACGCAGCTCGTACTCGTTGCCACCCGCAGCCTTCCCCGCCCCAAATGCTGTCGGGGAGCCCTGGGGCAACATCGTGGAGCTGCGCTCGGCGTCGATCTGCGCGTTATCGCGCAGGTGCTCGCACACGACCGTGACTAGGTGGTCGATAGCATTGTTTTGGCCCACCACTAGGGCGGGCAGGTGGGTGGCTACATTGCTACAGGCGTTGGGCACGAAGCGATTGGTGCCTGGGAGTTTCATGGGGCGTATATTCAGGGATTGGGGTTACTTTGGAGAGGATGGTACAGGGGGCCCCTCGGGGGCGAGGGGAGAAGGCGGCAGAACCTAGCGGCGCAGAGTTGGGGAAGGAAGTTTGGGACAACATGGGCAGCAGTGATGGGACACGGATGCCTCAAGACAAGGTGAGCCGAGACTTGTTGCTGAAGCCGAAGGCGCGTAGCCATGGCATCTATGGAACTGCGGGGACGTTAGGGACGCTACGCACAGCTTGGCATGCAGGTGTCTTAAAACTGACTTTGCGACTGGGTGGCTTAGCTCCTTCCACCCATGCATCTTGCTCTCAAAGTCAGCACATGCACCAGCATGTAACGATACACCGCATGCCCCTACCCCTCGGCCGTGACCCACATCGCGCATAACTAAGGAGCAGCACGCCTGTCAAGGCTCTTTTGGGTACATAGCGTGGTGCCAAGCAAGGGTATCAAATCTCTATGTCGAGCTGGTCAGGTTCAGGCCGTCCCATAAACATGGGGCTGCCAGCCGTCATCGTGGCCGCACCAACGATGCTGTGTTGTGTGCAGCCCGCATCTGTTACGTGGACGAAGCCCCCTTCATCCATGTTCCATTGCTTACATACCAGTGGTTTGCGCGTAATACAAGGCGGTGACTATAGCTGCTAGTCCAGCAGCTAGCGACAGCAAGGCCATGTCGCCGCTATAATGCGAGCTGCGGCCAGAGCTCTCGTGAAGTGCTCCCAATTTTTAAGGATTTCAGAAGATCCGTACGTGTGCAATCGCCATACTTGATGCCAAACTGCCACTTAACAGCAGGGCACGGATATTATGTTCCGAAAAAGGACATAGGCAGGAATGACGAGGTAGAAGCATGTGGCTACGATCGTTTCTGTGCTTTCAAACCATTAAGTTGTGCATAAGATTACAAGTTAGTGCTTCCATGTGAACGGCGAAGGCGATCCCGCGCAACCGCAGCACGACAGCATACCGCATCACGGCTGTTTGCATCCGTCAGTATTGAGTTAAAAAATTACACACTTTGTAATTTTAGTTATGCAGTGTTTCGATGAGCTATTTCTTTGAAACCTCGTGATTTGCCATGAAGGCCAAACCACAGGCGTGTTGCAACCACGCAGGAAGTTAAGTTTGCCATGACTATTTTTATCTTTTGGATCAATCACTTTAACTGCCCTTATATAAAATAGCCATGAGACATACAGGCACAAAGAAGGGCTTTTCTGGTTCTGGTCACTGTGGCAAATACGCTCAAGGCGACTACTCAAGAGCCGTTCAGAAATGGACGCTTCAGCCGTCTTATTTGCTTGGCGCATCATGGTCCTGCGCTAGTTCGTCGCCTGGGTTGTGGGGTCCGCATTTGTCCAGACTGAAGACCGCACGGACTGCCAGCCATCCGCCATCCAGCTCAGGTGCACAATCTGCTAATTCGTGCACTCACCGTCCTACAACTGGTGCTTTTTCGAAGCAGCGCCCACAAGAGCACGTTGGTTCAGCCAGTCCACAGCATTCCGGGTACTCTTCACCACCTGCTTCCAACCCCCCATTCAGCTCCCACACTCCAGTCCACGACCATTGCCAATCTCCTCCGCAGCCCCAGGCCCCCTCCCAGGCATGCTCCACCGCCTCATCCACACGGCGTGGCATGCTCCTCGCCGCTACCGCAATGGCTGCCACCACGGCAGCGGGCCCACTGGTCCTGACGTCCCCTTCCTCCGCCGCGGCGTTGTCGGGACGGCCGAGCTCGGTGATGGGCTTTGAGCCGCGTGTGGTGGAATTTACGCTGCGCAATGGACTCCACTTCATCGTGCTGCCACGGCGCAACGCACCCGTGGTTGCCTGCCACACGTACGCCAACGGTGCGCTGTATGGAGGAATAGGAAGGCCAGGCCGGGAAACGGACGAAGAAAGGATACTTGGTTGATGGGCCTCACAATCCATGTACAGGTAGAATGGCAGTTAGACTTTCCCTCCTGCGGTTCCCGTTGTGTTCCCCGTCCGCAGTTGGCGCCTGGAATGAGGAACCCGGCTTTACGGGGATGGCACACCTGCTTGAGCACATGGCTTTCAAGGTATGTTGTATCTACGGGTGCTGTGTCAGTGTGCGGGGGACCGCCACGGGCATGGGGGTCGGAACCAGAACCCTTGGTGCAGGAGCCAGGTATGAGCTGTAGACCTGTACACCCCGGCTAGTGCCTGTCGGGTACCATCCGGCAAGAAAATTGCATTGTAATCTCTGAGAGCTGCTTTGGGTGCTTTGGAGCATCTGCAGCTGTTGCTGCCTTGGCTTCGCTTGTGGCTCGCTGAGACTGTGACGTCTTCCCACTCACCTAGCCAATTTGAACATCACAGCGACCGGGTGTCGTTCTCAGTCCATGAGGCCACCCGCGTGTAACTGGGCCGGGCTGTTTAGGCTGCGCCGATCAAGGACACGACATGGCACGGCCTTCACCTCCCGCTGCTCCGTTGCTCCATGCCTTTACCTCCCTTTCAGGGCACTCCCAGGGTTGGCTCGGTGGACTTCCGTCGGGAGGCTCCTCTGCTGGATTTACTGGACGAAGCTTTCTATGAGCTTCGGGTGGGCAACCCAGTGCATCTGTTGGCTACCATTCATTGCATCGATTTCGCTGGGCAGGGTTGTCGGAAGGGAGAGGGGCGGAAGGGCCGGGAGGACGGGTATTGCAGTGGGATGGCTCACGCTCTACGACACGCATACAGGGCCGCAGTGTGGGACGTGTATTGCACTGATGTCGTTCTGATGCGTGTGTTGGTGGCAAGAGGGCACTCAGCATTGGTGTACCGGCACATGCTCGGTCGCACAGTATGACACAGATGCAACAACTCTCTGTGCCCTACCCGGTGAACCCCCCGGCGAACCCGTAGGAAGCCAAGGCCGCCGTCGCCTCCGGGGCCCCCGGCGGCGCCGGCCCCACACGCGTGTCCACCCTACGCGCCCGGCTCAGGTCCCTTCAGGAAGCCGCCGCATCACTTGCGGTGCCCAACGCCTTCGGAGCTACGCTGCAACGGGCGGGCGGTGCAGGACTGAACGCCACCACCTCCCACGATCAGACGCGCTACTTCGTCAGCCTGCCGTCCAACAAATTGGAGCTGTGGATGTCTCTAGAGGCAGAGAGGTTCAGGTGGGCAGAGAGACCGGAAGTTGGAATAGGAGGAAGGGAAGAGGCCAAGGGCGTAAGGAAGGGGAAAAGCGCTGGCTTTGAAAAGATCCAATCTGAGGGCTTGGAAGAAGGGACTTGTTGCTCGGGCGATAGCGGTGCAGCGGTGTGGTTCTGTGTGTCGGTCGCGTTGTAATGTGCCTGCCTGCTTGCCTGCCTGCCTGCTTGCCTGCCTGCCTGCTGCTCTGTCACGTGCATCCGGCCAACTGCCGACTGTACAGGGCGCCCGTTTTCCGGGAGTTATATTCGGAGAAATCGGTCATCGAGGAGGAGCGAAGGCTGAGAGTGGACAACTCGCCCATGGGCAGGTGTGCGGCGGTTTCTGGGGTACCTAATAACTCAAAATGATGATCTGTGTACATGGTATGAGCTTTCTTAACACCTATCTTTTTTTCTTTTATCTTCCTGTGCATTGTTGGCTTTTGCCTGGCAATGCTTCGTCAGCTGCGCTTCATTCACCACTTTGCTCTTCAGGTACCAGCAGGAGTTCGCACTGACTGCTTTGGCCAACAACTATCGCCGTCCTGTCATCGGGTTTGAGGAGGACTTCGATGCCATTGGTCGGCGGGAGGTGCAGGTGGGCACGGCTGCCCGCCAGAGTGTAGACACTTACGGATATTCCATTCGCGGCGGGGCTCCTGATGCCATGATCCCTTCCTGATCACCATTATTCCGGATCCCTTTATCCGCTGACCTCTGCCGCTTGGTGGCACGTGGGCTCTATGGCCGCAGGCGTTCTTTGACCGCTACTATGGCCCTGCTAACCTGACCATTGCCGTTGTGGGAGATGCTGACCCGCGGGTCGTCAGGAGGTGAGGTGGCGTCGGCAGTAGGACAGTGTTGCAATAATGGCGCAGGTTCATGGTCCTTTCTTGCATGCATCATAGTGACCACGCATTGTATCACACTTGCGCGCTGCTGCGCCTGACGCGCCTGACACGGCGCCATACATCCCCTAACCCGCAATGCCTAGGTTCGCTTGCCTCTCCCAACCCCCCACCCGATGGTCGCGGCTTACAGCCTAGCTGCAACACTTATGGACAGCTCAGCTCATTCACATTGCATTATTTTCGCCTTCAACCATTCTCAGTCCAAGTCCATTTCCTCCCCGGGCACGCAGAATGGCAGAGCGCTACTGGGGTGACTGGCAGGGGGCCCCGGGCTACCAGGTACTCCCGCGGGGGAGTCAGCAGGCGACGGCGGCGGGGGTGATGGCGACGCCAGCGGGAACGAGGGCGCCCCTTGTGGGCCCCTGGGGGGCCCCTGGGGAGCAGGACCCGCGGCCGGAGGTGCGTATTTGTTTTGCCCGCGTGTCCGTGCTTGCATGTATGCTCCTCCCTTCACGGCCGGCTCACGTTATGGTTCCCCCACCTTTCACAGCGCTGTCCTCCACGTTTTCCAATACATGCCTTCATTATATGCCTCGATGCTGTTTCACATTCGCATCAAGCCTCACGTGCACCCTCGTAGCCTTGCCCTCTGTCGCAATCCGTTGCATGTGTGTACATGCGTCTGAGGGTCATCCCGAACCCGCTCCATGCCATGAAACTCCTCACATGCCAATCTTCCTTAAGCCATGTCCCACCCCCGCCCTAACTGCTCCCTCCCTGTAGTCCTTTCTGTCGGGCAGCCGTACTTCCCTTCGGGCCCCCGCCCGCTCGGGCCCTGCCGTGCTGCTGGGCTATTACCGGCCTTCCCTGAACTGCCGGGAGGGTGTGGCATTGGAGGTGCTGGCAGACGTTCTGTCAGGTGCAATAGGTTGGGGCTTGGAGCGGGAAAGCTTCTTGTTTTGGATTTCTCTTGTCTGGGCCAAGGCTTGGAAGGATCCGATGTTGTAGGGGCCGGACCCGGACTGGATCCGGCAAACCAGGGGTGTTGCCCCCTTGCCGAGCCGAGTTTTTCGCCACCACATCATAGCTGCAGCAGTATCGGCGGCTGGCGTTAGCTTGGCCAGTGCAAGGCGCTGCGCTTCATCCGCCACTGTACGCCTCAATTGCCCTCATTCTTCGCCCTTCCACCGGCTCTTTGGAGCCTCGAAGGTTTGGTGTTCAATAATCCAGCAACAGCAGCAAGTAAACTGTTTGAGTAATGTTTGAATAAGGATCCCCTCCACCGTTACTTCCTTTTCCGTCTTCCTCCCTTTTCTCTTTCATTCCCAAATGCGTCGGCGCTATGAGCGACTCCTTCTTCGGGGGTTAAGTATTGTGGGACTGGGACTCTCGGGATCGCCAGAGAGTGCGCTCTGTTTTGAACGTCTGAATTTCCACCATACTGATTTCTTTTCGTCTTCCCTTCCCCTAGGCGGTCGTACCTCCCGACTGGTGTCGCAGCTGGTGCTCAGCGGAAAGGCGCTCAGCGCATCCGTGGTGTCAGCATACCCGGGGGAGCTGCACGCAGGGCTCTCGCTTGTGTACGGCGTACCACGTGAAGGTGCGGACGGCCCTGGCTGAAGAGAGAGGGGGGAAAGAGAGAGAGAGAGAGAGAGAGAGAGAGAGAGAGAGAGAGAGAGAGCTGTGCACGCACAAACTCGGATGGGTACCACTCCAGCACAAGCTCCCCTTGTGGCCTCTCGGTATCTTCCTTATGCAGTATGTGACGGTCCTTTCCTGGTGTTGGTTGCTGACCAGGTGAGGGCCCCGAGGCGGTGGCGGATCTGCTGCAGCAGCAGCTGGCGGGATTGGTGGAGGACCGCGTGACGGATTCGGAGCTGGCCCGGGTACAGCGGGCAGTGCGGGCCGGGCTGCTGGCTTCCGCGCAGAGCAACAGCGCCATGGCTTCGGCGCTGGCGTCCTACCATGTTTCCACAGGTGTGGTGCAGAATGGAGGAGGGCGGGAACATGGAGTAAGGGAAGCGATGGGGTGTAATCACATTGCAGAAGTCCAGACGTTAAGAGGGAGGTGAGGCCGCGGCACGCAAGCGGATCAGAAAAAGGAAGTTGTCGAAACATGAACGAGGGTTAACCACGAGCAGCCCGCCAAAAGCGTATGTTTGTGCAATTTGTACACGGTATATTAGTGAGGCCTCTTCAATGACACGGTGGCATGCATTCGCTTCCACCAACACTGTGATCCACCTCTCTTTGACCATTCCTCTTCGCAGGCAGCTGGCGAGGCCTAGTAGAGGAGCTGGACCAGGTTACACAGTTGAAGACAGAGGAGCTGCGGGACGTGGCGGAGAGGTTGTTCGCACCAGGCAACTGCTTCACTGGCTATGTGCTGAAAGCCTAATTTACGGCCGGCAGGCTACGAGGCTGAGCGGGTTGTTCGCGGCGGCTGGAGGGGAAGTTTCAGTCCGGGGGTTGTTGTAAGCGTTGTGGTATTTACGCAAAAGGAAACACACCATGCTGCGGACAACACGGCAAGCACATGTGGTGACGCGGTTGTCTTGGTGGTATGAAGGAGAGGTGCTGGTGACCGGATTGCGGGTAGTGTCGCCGCACATGCCTGGTTGCTCGTGGGCTTGGGGTTTAGGCGGTAGGCCGGCGCCGCACGTGCATGTCGGAGAGGAGGCGTAACGGGGCTTCCGGAGGCACGGATGCAAAGTACCAATGCCTTTAAAGTGTGGAACAAAATCGGAGGATCCAAACCGTTTTTTTAGTTTTTGCACCATCAGACTCTTTCGGGTGCCATGTAACACACAAGCTTGATGTACTCACTTAAGCCCGTGGACTTGGCGCTGGATAATGATTGGAAGCGCAGATGGCATCGGAGTTGGTTGCCGCATTGCCACTGATGAGTGCATAATGAAACGGGTAGGAACGTTGGGGCGAAGTGCGCAGCGGGCAGGGGCCAGCAGGGAAATGGATGCAACGAAGGACCCAGGGCACGGGGGTGTAATGCTCCAGGGGGTCCAAGGATAAGCGGAGGCAGTGGTATCTATATTATATCATTCCGCCGTGAGGTAGAAGTCTTCAAAAGCTCACTTCCACAGTCTTAAAATAGTCAGGACGAACGCCAGGGAGGCGAAGGTTTCACAGTCCGATTGGTGAAAGGGCCGAGGTCGTACGCCGTTGTTTCAGGCTTTATACAACTCTGGTGTACTGAAATGCGGTAACGCATGAAAAACAGTATGCAGGAGTATAGTAACCGTATTTAACCGGCAAAAGGCTGCGGCGACTTAATTCCGTTAAATTGTAACTACCCTACCCAATACGGTGCGCTATAAATCAAAGATATCCAAAACGAAAGAGAGGCTACACACGCGCCTTGACAATCGCTCATTGTACGCCAGTGAAGAATGTTATGTTCTGGCGCAAAAATGTGCTGCAGTACACCCAGTCGAAAACCCTCGGTTTCTAGCACAGCAATGAAGTTCGCAAAATGTCTAACGCATACCGTAATAGTAGTTACCATGTGTCCCGGCCGACGCCACTGCGTCACCTGTTCAAAGGCGTGCTTACCGTTACCTACTTCCTTGACAGGCCATTTTCCGGAAGTTCTGGCGTCGAATCATAGTTATTGTGACATGGAAAGTGTAACTTGCTTGGGGCCTGGTGGCGTATAGGCAACGACTGGGGCACGGCCTCGCGCCTGGGCATGGCGGACGAGAGCTCAGTCCGCCATGCTCGCAAAGGCCTTGCTGACATGCCTCAAGATGCCACAAATTATAAACTTGCAGCTGGGCCGGCGCGAGGTTGGAGGCCTAGGTCAGCTTCTGGTTCGAAGCCGTCATCTCTGCCTTAGCTTGTGGCGTCTTCATAGCTTGGATTATGATGTATTTTGGATGGCTGCAGGGGAAGCGATGGTTACACAGAGCCGGCCACAAGGGCAAGGAAGGCCTCCGAGCTGTTCGAGGCTTTGCGTGCGGGGAATCCCGACATAGACGAAGAGGAGTTGCTGAATGGGCCTGACTATCAGGAGAGTCAGCGGAGGTACCTGCAAGAAAGGAAACAACAATTGGTCGTGGAGCGGCTCGAGCGAAGGGCGGGTGAGCCGACTATTATGCATGAGAGGGCATCCTTATAAAGGAACATCACTGGATGCATGGATGGAATGGTAGTTTGGGGGTTGGCGTGCTGTGTCCATGCGTCGGAGCTCGTGTCTGTCCTGGGCATGGGTTGGGTTGAGGTCGCTGGATGTTGTATCGCGCAAAAGTCGCTTTGGAAATCGACCTGCCTGCAGGTCTCCGCAGCAGCTACAGGGCGGACGCGGACGGAGCGGAAAACCGCACCTCCCGAAGCAGCTTTGATCGCAAGTGCGATGGCAGGGGCATGGAGCTCAAAAGCCTTGACAATTGTCGGCGCAGCCATGAGCAGTCGCGAAGCAGCTACGAGCAGCGACGGGGCAGCCGCGAAACGCAGCGGAGCAGCTACGAACAACGACGGGACAGCCGCGAAACGCAGCGAAGCAGCTACGAGCAACGACGGGGCAGCCGCGAAACGCAGCGGAGCAGCTACGAGCAACGACGGGGCAGCCGCGAAACGCAGCGGAGCAGCTACGAGGGCAGCCGCGAAACGCAGCGAAGCAGCTACGAGCAACGACGGGGCAGCCGCGAAACGCAGCGGAGCAGCTACGAGCAACGACGGGACAGCCGTGAAACGCAGCGGAGCAGCTACGAACAACGACGAAGTCGAGAGCGCCAGTCTTTCAGCACCGACGGCCCTGCCGGCACCCATAGGCTGCCGGCGGGTGCAGAACCCTCCGGCAGCTCCTGGACAGTCACCCACAAGCGCCGCGCGGCAGCTTTACCGGACGCTATGCCTCAGCAACTGGCTGCTGGCACCGGAACAGGCGAGCCAGTGGTTGCTCCAGCCGGTGTTTGGGGGACCGGGGCCGGGGTCAGTATGGAGGCCCCTTCGTCCCTTTGGACCGCAGCGGCGGTGGCGGCCGGCAGCCGCAGCAGCGCCGACGGCGCCGGCGGCCCTGTTCAGACTACCGGTAGGCCCTCCTCCTCCGAGGATGTGGCCCCCAAGAGGGGCCCAGGACGCGCGGACCTCCACGCCGTGTCACACAGCAGCCACCGTCTGGCGCTGCTGTCCTCCATCACAGAGGATGAGCTCCTGGCGGCAACCAGCGCGCTGGCGGCTGTGGAAGTGGCGGGCGCGTCCCAGAGCGAGCCGCCTCCGTCGGATGCCGCTCCAGCTGATGCCGGTGCTCCAGAGCCCGATCCGAATCCTACAGGGGGAAACGGGGGTGGGTCAAAGGCCTCCTGGAATAAATGCGGCAGCGGCCGAACAGGAAGCGCCGTGGACGGTGCCTCAGCGGCCCCTCTCACCACATGCTCAGCTACAGGACCCCGGCTACGGCCGGAGAACGACAGCAGCATTAACGGCGCTTGCAGTACCCGGGCTATAAGCCCCGTCAATAACCGTCAGTGCGGCTATAATGGCGATGCTGCTGGACCGGCATCACCGCCGGCAGAAGTGACAGAGGGGCCCCATCGCGTTGGGGTACCGCGGGGCCGCGGGCGCGATCTGGGGATGTTCGAAGCCGCCACTACGAATATGGCCGCCAGGAGGCCGTCGGAGGACGCGTCCCGCCATGCAGGCGGTGGCATCGGCGTGTCTTTATCTTCACAGCTTGCAGCGTTAGGGTTAGTGGAGGTGCAGCCCTTGTCTGACCACTTTTTTCGCGATGACGACCGGTCGGTGCGGCACACGGGAGCGGCGGTACCGATGCCGGGTCCGGGGGAAGTCCTACGGCAGCTGGGCGGTGGTGCTCAGGACACCGGTGCTGCCCAGCGCGTCAACTCAGACCGCACCATGACGAATGAAACTCTGGCCACGTATGAGGAAGTTGGTGACCTTTCGAAGTACAGCCTGTCACGTCAGTGGGCCATTCGGTTGTGCTCCAATCCGGATTTTGAAATGGTCATCACGGCCATCATTTTTGCTAACTGCGTAACGCTGTGTCTGTTTGATCCTCGCCGGCCGGATGACAGGGGCCTCAATCGGAAGCTCTTCTGGGCGGGTGAGTGAACGAATGAGCGAGGGGCGCCGCAGTAGGGGAGTCGTGGGGCAGCGCACGGACGGCGGTGCAAAACGGTCTTCCCGCGATTTGAAGCTGTGTCCGCGGGCGATGCTCATCCCTGACTTGCCTATCCATGCGTTAAGTACCACGTCAGCATCTCCCAAGTCATCTTTCTCAAAACGGAAGTGTACGTTGATGGCGAGTCCGAAAGCACAAGCCCTGGGAATTCGCGTTTTAGACTTCACAAAGAAGTCTTTCCAGAGTCCTCCTTCTGAGGATCTCGAGAGGCCTGAGGACCCGGAGCTAGGGATGGTTTGGGTGGCTGGGTGTCCCGGACAATCCCCCGGCCTTCCCCCGGGACCCTGCACGGTGCCTGCAGGCTCCCCGAGTGCTCCATGCTCCAGTTCCGTCCCTATCCCTTGCACCTCTGGTCCTCCTCTTGGCCGATTAGATAGACATATTGATAGTCCCATCCATGGCTCTCTCATTCCTCCGCTGATAACTTTTGCATGTTTGCATGTATGTTCCCCGCCCCCTCGCCACCGTCTCGGCACCGTTGCCGGCAACGCGCAGAGCTGGCCTTCAACATCTGCTTCTCCGTGGAGATGCTGCTGCGCATGGTGTCCATGGGCTCCCCCATAGCTTACATCCGCCGTTCATGGAACCAATTTGATTGCGTAAGTCAAAATGTGCATTTCACATCACGGGGAGGGCGCATGGATTCGTCGCGTTAGCGAGCGCAGGCGTGGTGGGGTGCGGTGGGATGCGGCGTGACCGGCCCGACTACGGTTTGGGGGGGCTTGCATAGGCGCAGTGGGGTACAAACGGTACATGCAGTGTACGCGGTGGGGTCCACGCCCACATCTGACAGAGGCAGTTGTATAGGTGTTTAGGTCTCCATCTACGTTTCCGTTGCTTTCCGCACAGCCCCCATTCCGCACATATGCAGGTGACGAGGTGAGTCCTCAGTAGTTGCTCATCGCCATGCATTTACAAATCTCAAGGGCTGTGCCACACTTCTCCACGTCGGATGGGCCGGATCACCTCCAATCTGACTTCCGCCTCTGTGCTATAGCATTCGTGCACGTCTCAGTCAATCAACGGCCTTTCTGACCGGGTGCGACGACCAACACAACGGCCGCGTCGCTTCCTCGCAGTTCATGGTGGTGGCAGGCTACACGGTGTTTGTGCCGGGGAACTCTTCCGCAGTGAATGCTATCCGCGCGCTGCGGGCGTTGCGGCCGCTGCGAACCATCACGCGGTTCGAGTCGCTGCGGGGCGTCATCGTGTGCTTCTTAGAGGTAGGCGCAGGCAATGAGGAGGCGGAGGCGGAGGAGTGGGAGTGAGGCGCAACGCCCCGGGGAAATGAAGGGGTTTGTCGCCTCGTGGCTTTGCACCCGGTGGCGTCGCACCCTGTCCGTCCGCGCGCTTTTCTCACCTGCTTATCTCTCCGGCTTATCTCCCGTTTATCTGAGTGCCTGCTGGCCCCTCCTCCACGCTTGATTGCACACACATGCTCCCAACACCCTCGCTCTCCCTCCCTCCCTTCCACCGCCGACTGGTCAGTTGTCTGCTTCCGGTATATCGGCCGCGAAGCACTCTTTCCTCCTGGCAGCAGCTTCACTCGCTCACATGGTTCGTCTTTTCCCTCCTTCCCTTCCCCCCTAATGCTCCGGTAGTTGATCCTTGCTTTTTGCATCTACTTCCCTTGCTTATACTGCCTCGCCTTTGCTCGCTTTGGGCTCACGCAGTTATTTCTTTCTCTTGATGCAGGGAATTCCTCCTTTGTCTCAATCCAAACGCTGCTTCATTCACCTCAGCCACACGCCCTCGCCTGCATTTCCCTCCACCTGGCCAATTCTCTTTCCTAACCCACTATTACCGCTTGCCATGTTTCTTCCTTTCCTTGGCCATCGACACACATGCACACACTCACACGCGCTTGCACCCACATACACCCCTTCCGTATGCTCCTCGCCGGCCGCAGGCCATCCCGCTGCTGACCTCCGTAGGCGGCTTGTTGCTCTTCTTTATCTTCATTTACGCCGTTGCAGCAGTGCAGCTCTTTCCGAAAACATATCACTGGGTAAGTGTCCACAGCGGGGACTGGGGCTCGTTTCCTCGCCAAAATGGTGTGTTGATGCTGCTGCAGGCTTCCGGAAGTTGCGTGCAATATATCGCACCGTTGTCGATGCCGGTGCCGTAGCCATGCCTTGCCTAACAGGCGTTGTCTACGTGCACATGCCCGTTCGCAACAACGTGTGCGGTGTTTTCCGCCAGTGCGGCGTCCTGTTACTTGTAACACTTCTCCGGATCGTCCGCGTCTGGTTGGCGTGGCCTGCGTGAGCTATGTGGTGTTTGCGGACGTGTGAGGTTGCAGCGACGGTGAGGTGCGCCAGAAATCCAGGCACTGGAAATTGACTATCCAGGTTGTATGTTTATTGTTTGAGCAGCGCCTGTCTGTTTGGCATGGGTGAGTATTTTTCCCGTGCCATTGGCCGCATTGGCCACCCGGCTGTCGCTGTCCTGTGTTTGCTCCCATGCAACCTCCCCAGCGTCCCCGGCAGTGTTTTGACCCTTTGCTTTGTCTTGCATGCATGCATCGTGTGGTTTCCCCCCTTTTCCAGACGTGCCTCGATGCCGAGGGCCATCCGCTGAGCACCGGAGACGACCCGGACATGTTTGGCTGTGGTGGCAGTGGCAGGTGTCCCACCAACTACACCTGCACGGTAGGCAGATTGGCGGGCAGCTGGCGGGTTTGCCAGCAAAGCAAGCAGGGGGGCGGGAGGGTCTGCGGCGGGCCGGTTGGCGGTCCAACGGGGATCAGATGGCGGAACCGGTGGGGAAAATATGGTTCAATTGTGGTGGGTTGATTTACGGAGTGAAGTAATTAATTTACCTCTTTTGTCAACTCGTACCGGGTCCACTGGCTAGCTGTTGTAGGGGGCAGGAAAAAGACCGGCGTGCCGCGCTGCAGCCCTCTCCGATAACTTTACCCTGTTTCCTGTCCTCTGCAGCTTACCCCTTCCTAGCTCCCGGTCTTCCACCTTCCCATCCTTCGTGTTTGCCGGTCCCTCTACTTACCGCCGTCCCTCACTTCTTTTCTTGACTCTTTACTATTTGCGCATGCAATCTTACCGTTATCATCCCTGTTATCAGTTGCTCGACAAGCACCTGGCGGTGAATGCCGCTGGTTTCGACAACACCGGTCTGGCCATGCTGAGCGTGTGGCAGGCCCTGACGTTGACGGGCTGGGTGTTCATGATGTACCGCACTGTGGACTCGTACTCGCTCGTAGCAGTCATATACTACGTCACGCTCGTGTTCATCGGCGCTTACTTTGTGGTGAGTGTGTTTTTTGGTGGCACCGGCTCAGTGTGGTGCTGGGGTGATGTGCAGGGGCCGCATACTGGCGACACAGTACTTGGTGCGATGGTGTACTACCCATAGTTATAGCTGGTTCCTTTTGGCGCCCCGCGCGCGCGAATGCTCATTCCTACCTTAGGCTCGGCGTACATTGTGGTGTGTACTGTTTACTGGTGTGTACATGGCGGCAGGGTGGCACAAGTCCTCCTAGATCGCGTCGTTCCGGCGGCCCGTGGGGTGGTAATTACTCTCCCGCGTGATTTATTTTACCCTTAGTCGGGTGACATCATTGGGAAAATGACTCCGCACCTAGCATGTCTCCTGACTTAGAGGCGTTCAGTCATTAGACTACAGATGTTAGCTTCGGCCCATTGCCTTTCCAGGCAAGGGCATTAACAATTATCTTACACGGCGGTTCCTCTCGCACTGAGCCGTATTACTCTTGTACCATTCCCCCGCAGCTGAATTTATTCCTGGCTGTGCTCAAAATCAAGTTTGCCAAGGCGCAGACGCTGTTTCACAACCAGCTGGCTCTGCAGCGCAGCAAGGCGCGTCGCAACTCCATCATGACGCTCATGAGCAAGGTGCAGTCTAAGTGGACTGAGTACAGCTTCAAGCGCAGCCAAGCCTCCTTGCTCAACAGCAAGCTGAGCTCCGCCATCAGCTCAAAGATGAGCTCGGTGGGCTCAGGGCCACCGTCGCCGCGTCTGTCGGGGTGGCAACTGGGCTCTGACGGTGAGTTCAGGGAGATGAATTTCGGTGGCAGCGGCGGCGGCAGTGGGGGCGGCAGCGGCGGCGGCAGCGGCCATGGCAGCGGGGGCGGCAGCGGCGGCAGGCGCTCCGAGCAGATGCCGTCGCCACTGCCGGGGAGGGATGCTAGCGGTAGCGCCTTTGGTGGCGTGGAACGGTCAGCAGGTAGCATGGGGATCGGTGGTGAGGAGCGGGGGCCGCTTCTGGCGCAGAACGCTAGCGGGCCGGGGACGGCGGCGGGGACGGACAGCCTTCGCAACGACGACACGAGCAAAAGCTGGGGTAGCGGCACACAGGATGGTGTGCTTGCGGTGCCGCTCGCTCAGCCGCCGCAGGCAGGCTGGCCGACCGACTTCGGCGGCGGGGAGGCTGGTGACAGTAGCGGCGGTGGACCAGCCGCAGGCACGTCGAGTGTTCGGGTACGGCAGCTCGTGCGGGCAGAAACAGACGGCATGGAGTCAGATAACAGTCGTCCATGCAGCGCTGCCATTTTACGGATGAACACCACAGACGAGCGTGCCGGCGGCGGCAGCGGCTCGCTGGCGTCGCCAACGCTGGCGTCAAAACCGCCTGCCCGGCCTGCCTTGGTGAACACCAAGCAATCTCTTTCCAAGGGCGCGCGCCCGATCCGGGCCGTGTCTTTCCGGCATCGCGAGCCGGAACTCGTGCTGCCCGTGAGGAGCCCTGCAGCCGGTGTGGCTGAGGCACGTGAGCTTTGCGCCGCCGCACACGCAGATGCGGCGGCCTTGAATACGCATAACGGTCTGCTCAAGGGCTACGGGACCGCAGCTGTCGCCGGCTGCGGTGGCGACGGCAGGAGAGACCATGGCGCACTGATGGCAAAGACAATCGAGGCGGCGCTGCCGTCCCGTTTACCGTACAGCGCCCGGGCATCGTCACCGGCGGACGCATTGCCAGTTCGGGCGCTGTGGAGGTGGTGCTTGCGCAGCGTACGGCGTGTTTCGCCCGTGGGCGACTCTCACCCTCCGAATCGGAGAAGTGGCGACGGCGACTGGGCTGTCTTAAGAGGTGCGGCAGCGGCGGGCGGCGGCTCCGACCGCAGCTGTACGGTGTCATGGTGCCAGGCCGCGGCGGCCACGGCCGTCGTCGGTGCCGATTGCAGCCAGCGGTTGTGGGTCTCGGAGGGGGCGGATGAGGAGGAGAAGGACGGGCAGCTGCGGCCGCCCCGACCGCCACCTCGAACGGGCCCTCCGCAGGGGTTGTGTGTCAACGGGGAGCTCTGCAGCCCACAGCTGCTACTGCTTGAGGAGACAGCAGCCACGGGTGCGGCCACGACAACCAGACCCACGACCACGGCTCGCTCTGGAACGGTGGCAACGGGGACACCAACAGCAGGCAGCAACACAACGACGACGAGGAGGACGACGACGATGAACAGAGTAGCAGCTCCTGACCCGGCCCCTTTTCGCTGTGCGAGCGCTGGGCCCCCTTCGGCTCCCTGTACTGCGGTCGCGCCTGACGGAGCGCCGGGGCCCGTGGCGGAGGCGGTTCGCTTCGCTGGCGGAGATGAAGAACCGGAGGACGCTGCCGGCGATGCCGCCCTTGCCCCGAACCCTGGTGACCCTGGTGCAGCGACTCCAACCCATGCTGAAATCACAACTCCAGCTGCCGCTGCAGCACCCACTTCTACCGGGTCGCTTGCAGTGTCGCCCGTGCGGAGGACTTCCTTTGCCCATACGCCGAGTCTCCGCCGCCTTCTCTCCCGCAATGCGGAGATTTCCAGCCCCATGGTTGTAGCCGCCCCGGCCGCCGGCGGTGACGGCGGGGAGGCAGCCGAAGCAGCGGGTGCGGGGCCGAGGTCGCAGACACGGGACGGGAAGTCGACGAGTGACGGTGACGGAGGGAGGCTGGAAAGCGGGAAAAGCAGCGGCCGGGGCCTGAGTCAGGGTTACAGCCCGGCTTATGGCCAAGGGAATGAGGGTGCAGGCGAGCGCACGTACAGCGCGGCACCCTCCAGCATGGGTGGCACTAACGTGGCAATGATGGTGATGAGCCCAGAGGAGTTTGACGAGTGAGTTTGACACCCAGGGCTGGCCTGCAGAGCTGGTGTTGGGGTCTGGGGAATCTTGCGTTAGGACGGGGCAGCGAAGGTTTACCGGGGGTCCAGGGAAAGGTGGCAGAAAAGGGAAAGGGAAGGCGAGGAGAGGGGAGAGGGAAGGGGAGGCGAGAGGAAGTTGGAGGGGCAGGGACGCGCCGGGACGGTACTCCACTTCCACTAATCGCCAACCGCAATCTCCTCCTCGCGGCCCCTACCGCTGCCGCGTTCGTTGCTTCAGGTTCGTTGCTGATCACCCGTACGTACAACGCCAGCTGCTTCGGTTTCAGTACCGCACCAGACTCTTCGTGAACCATTTTGTCTTCAACCAGGTGCGCTGGGTGGCGGTCAGATGCTGGGTGGCGGTCAGATGCTGGGTGGCGGTCAGATGCTGGGTGGCGGTCAGATGCTGGGTGGCGGTCAGATGCTGGGTGGCGGTCAGATGCTGGGTGGCGGTCAGATGCTGGGTGGCGGTCAGTTGCTGCCGATCGATCCAGACATGATCGTGGACACAGACAGATGTGTTAGCGGGCGGGCAGGCGGTGTACAGGCGGGCGGGTAGTTGAGATTCGTAAGGGTCAAACCTCCGCTGCAGGCCCGCTGTATGTCACATATGCCCCGCTGGGTTGTAGTTCCCGTCTTCGGGAAACTTGCGTGAGGTTCTAGCTGACGTTTTAAGGGCTCTACGCTAACATACTCGCGGCTACTCAGTTGGCCACTAGGAGCTTTGCCCTTTGGCTGTATGCCGCGATAAAATCAACCCTCAAAGATGCGGTGGAGGTGCGACGCAGGCAGCTGCAACGTTACACATGCGTGCGTCCACCTGGCATGATGCTCTATGTCTCCATGCGCCCAAAGGCCACGGGAAATCCGGGCGACAACAAGCTGCGGGGCAAGCACGAAGGGCCTCCCACCCCACCCACCCCGCCCACGCCGCCCACCTTCTCTCCACCTGCCGCCCTGTTCCACAGGTATTCATGTTATTGATTTTCATCAACACGGTGCTCCTGGCTATGGAATACGACAACCAGCCGCACTCGATGACTCGCTTCCTAACAGTTTCCAACTGGGCCCTCACGGGTCTGTTCACCACAGAGATGATTGTCAAGCTGTTTGGGCTCGGATTCTGGGACTACATACGGGTGTGTACCGGGGCCGGGTGTGTATGGGGAGGGTGTGTATGGGGAGGGAGTAGCGAGTCTGGTTGCGGCGGAGAGCCCGTGGCCATCCCGGAGGCCGGCTTCGCCACCTTGCCTCTTCCCTGCCTGCAATTTCGTTTTTTCGCTGTCCATCCTAACCCGGCTACCTCCTCCCCTGCCTCTTTCCCTGTCCTTTTTCCACCACACGCTCCCTCATCCTCCCGCTCCGTCGCGGCACGCCACACTGCCCTGGCTGATCTCTTCTATGCACATAGTCCTTGACGAGACCCGGCCCCGTTCTCCTTGTCTTGTTCGTCTTGCTTCGAGCACCCCGCAGGACAGCTTTAATATCTTTGACGCCTTGGTGGTGGCCGTCAGTCTCGTGGAGATTGTGTTATCCACAGTGGCTGGACTCAATGCGGCTCGCGCGCTGCGGGTGCTCAAGGCGCTTCGCGTGCTCCGTCTCTTCAAGCTGTTCCGCTATATGCAGTCGCTGCGGCGCATCGGCGAAATCCTGCTGTCAGCCTTTACCTCCTTCGCCGCCATCGCGACGTTGCTGATGCTCTTTTGGCTGGTCTTTTCCATTATTGGCATGCACGTGTTTGGGACCAAGGACCTCGACGGCTACAACTGGCCCAATTTTTCCACCTTTCTGTACAGGTACAGAGGTCCTGCGTATTTATTTTTTGTTAGGAAGCAGTGGCGCCAGGCCATGTCCTTCTTGCATATCTCGCTCGCGCGCGCGCGCGCGCTCGCTCGCTTCCCCGTCAGCATTTTCCTCTTCGCTTTGCAATTGATTTCCCGGTCCAGTTCCCCGGCGCACCAGCCAACCACCCTCCTCCTGCTTTTTCGCAAGCTTCTGGCGTCCCCTTTCCTAGAGCCGTCCCCCTCCTTCCACGCATGTGTGTGTGTGTTTTAATGATCTTTCGGAGCCGTGATAAGGAAAATGCCGATGGTGGTTCACGTATATAACATGTGTGTGTACGTCTTCCGCTTCGAGATCCTCCCCGCTGCTCTGTCCCCTTTGTACTTCCCTGTGCTCCCTGTCCTTTCCCCACGCAGTCTGATTGCCACCTGGAATGTGCTCAATCTGGAGAACTGGACCAACACCATGTACGCCACTATCCGGGTCACGGACTGGGGCTCCAGCATGTTCTTCGTGCTGTGGATTATCATAGGTGTGTGGATGGCTGGGTGATTGGCTGTATAGGTGGCTGGATGAGTGGGTGGGTGGGTGGGTGGGGGGTTGTTGTAGCATCAGGGCATCAGTAAAGGTGCAAGAAATGAAGCACCTTGAAAGAAGCGCGACTCCTTGAGAAAGGCTTCGAAAGATGTCCTTCCTCCCGTCTAACTGGACGGTCAAGATGATATCGGCATCAGCAAGCATTGGCAAGGCGTAACCGTACAAATGTCGTACACGTCTAGAAACATCTGGGTTCTTAGACTGTTTAGCAACAGATATCAGACATGTAGCATGTCTTCCATAACCAGCATAGTATTCAGGATGTTCACTACAGCAGTGGTCCTGGATGGGTGCGGTTCTCGCTTGTAGCAAATGGAAATTGCGTCGGGTTGGCGGTCTGGGCGTTGATCCGGATCCCGGTGGCTGAGGTTCACACGCGTGAACGTGTGTTTAAAATGGCTTCCTTCCTTCTCTGGCACCGTTTCGGCCGTTGGGACGTTGGGTTGGGTCACCTAAGGTGGTCCAGGTGGGGCTTCTACAGGATGGCTGCATTATGTATACAGCGGTTTGTCGCGATGAGTAGTTGTTGTTCTTACGGTGCCTTCCCTCCTCTTCGCCAGCGCCCCTCTTCACTAGCAAATGCTCGACATGCGTTGCGCGTTGCCTGTAATATGTAACCTCCTCAACAAGTTTCCAGCCCCTGCTGTTGCGCTGGCCCCCAAAGGCCTTGGAAACCCTGTGCATAGCACTCCTTTCCTTCTCATCTTATCCTCGTGTACCCCTTCGCCGGGACCCGGTTGGTGCCCAGGCCGCTACATATTCCTGACGCTTTTCCTGGCCGTGACGCTTGAGGTGAGGTGGAAAAGAGGGAAAGTGAGGATTGGGGTGTTTGGGGTGCTGGAAGGAGGATGTGAGGCTGGGGAGGTGAGGGGTGGTTCAGGGAGACCAGGAAGGGAAGGAGGGAGGGAAACTGATTTGGGGGAATTGGGTTAGGCAGAGAGGTAGAGATCCGTGGCACCTTTCCAAGGGCGTCCTGGGCACCGCACCGCTCCTCTGGGCAGAGCACACGTCACCACTTCGCGTTCTCGCGTTCTCGCATCCCTTCCGGCGCCGCCACACGGATTTTTGCGCCTTTGCCTGGACGCTAGTACCGGCCGCCCTCCCAATCCTTGCCTACTGCTCCCTCTCCCCCACACGCACACACACACGCACCTCCCCCTTACACGCCCCGGTACGTACCTTGCCACTTGCACACGACCTCTGCACATCGACACATATTCTCAAGTCCTTGCTTGCTGCACGTCCACTTTACACGTATCGACTCAGGCGTTCGAGGCCAAGTACGACGCCAACGCGGTTCGTATGGGGGCCCGCGGCGGCGGCTTCACTTCCCTGCTGGGCTCGCTTTGGAGCGGCGCGTCCAGCCTGAGGTCGGGGATCAGCAGCCGGGCCAGCAGCGTGACCAGGTAGGGACCTGGAAAGCTTGGAATGCTACGGGAAGGGCGGGCCAGGCCAACGGCAAGGGAAAAACGACATACGCCCGTACCGCTGGTGCACGGGCGAACAGTAGAGCATTTGCGCAGCGCGGAACGTGTGCCGACGGACAGGTCCCAGCCCTTGCACCGCATCTCAGGGGCCACCACGCGGGGTCCTAAAGGGGTTGTGAGATAGCCCCGATATGGCAGCAGCATGACCAGGGCCGTATTAACATGATGGCAAATGGGGGGTGTCATCGTGTGTTCTACCAGCGCGGGTTCTTGGGCCGTGGGCGGATTTCGCTGCGCCGCACCGAACCCGCCACACTCTCCCTGGGCCCGCGCGCTCCCGTCGCCAACCCTTTGGTAACCCTAACCCCGGCTAACCTATCCCAACCTAACCCATATCTTGGCCGCCTAACCCCGCTGTATCTCCCACCGCCTCGGTCCACGCAGCTCTGTTCGCAGCAGTCGCAGCAGCCACAGCGGTCGTAACTCGGATGGCGAGCAGGGCAGGGAGCGGGGTGGCCACCCCGGCAAGGCCGGTGACGGCAGCCCGGGAGTTGCGGATAGAGTCGGGTCAGTCCGGGCTGGCGTCCAGGGCCTTGAGTCCTCTGCCCCTAGCTCGCAGCTCCCACCTGGCATTGGTGAGTGGTGTGTGGGGTATTCATAGGGACTCTATCTGCGTTCGGTGAATACATGTGTGTCGGGGTCGTGTGTACAGTCTGGGATGTTGCATGAACGCTCTCCCATGGGAGGTGTTGCGCTCATTGTTCTCGCGAACACGGAAGCTTACAAGTGCACACGGAACCGCATCTACCGTTTGCTCGAGTGGAGAGGGAGGGAGGATAAATGGGGGGCCCTTCTTGCCTGTTCAAGATGACGCGCGTTGTCTGCCCTGCCGCGCTGTCCTGTGCCCTGTGCTTCCTTCTTTCCACACCGTACCTCACCCCACACTTCAACCCTCCTCCTCCCAGTTCGGGCAACGCCGTTTGCTTTTTTCTTAACCTCCCCGCCTTCGTCATCCTCCTTGCGCCGCCTGATGGGTAACCAGGTTATTTGGAGGACGCCCAGGCCGCGGCGGCGGCACAGTATGGCGAGAGCAACGAGCGGCGTGTCAATATGCAGAAGATGTTTACCATCAAACAGTGGATCGACACGGGCAACATGGATGTGCTTGAGGCGCCGGGGGCGGGGCCCGAGCCGTCCGTTCGCCGTGCAGGCGATCTGTCGCACGGCCGGGGCCAAACTCCGAATGGGGCTGTCAGTGCGGAGGCAGATACGGCGCTTAGCGGCGGCGGCGGCAACTGGGCGTCGCCGACGCAACAGCGAAGCTTGCAGGCCGCTGGCAGCGGCAGTGACCTTCCGTGCATGACGCCCGGCGGCGGCGGACGTGCCGGACGCGGCATGCCGTACATCAATGACTCTGCTGCGCAGAGCCTTGCATCGTCGGAGGAGATGCCTACGGCGGCACGTGCTGCCAGCGGCGAAGTCGGAAGCCGGGGTGTCGGGGAGGGCTTGGTCCTGGAACCCACCGTCGGCAGGGCGGATTCAACGTTACTCCAACTCCAGTTGGAACAGCAGCCGCTCGAGCAACCTCAGCAACCTCAGCAGCAGCAGTACAGAACTCACCGCAGGGCCAGCCGCACCAGCAACGCCGCATCAGACACAGCAAGGCCTTATACTGCTGGACCTACCACCGGGCCAAACTTCGGACCCATCTCCGGGCCCGAGGGGCGGCGCGCTAGCTTAGGGCCCTACCTACAGAGCCTGACCCTAGCTGTACGGCGGGATCTGGAAGGCGCTGTGAATGGGGGAGACGGCGGCGGCCCGGTGGTGGACGACGTTGTCGCCGGCGGCGGCAACACCTCCGTCAGCGGAAGCGATGGCAACTGGGCGCGGCCGCCGCCGCCGTTGCTCCGGTTACCGTGCGCAGGCGGTGCGGTTGACGGCAGCGAGCTAATCCTGTCGTGCTCCCACGGCCGTTCGCGTCTGATGCGTTCCACCACGTCGATAGACGCAGCGGCGGCGGCCATGCGGGTGGCTCTTTCCTCTAACTACAGCTTCCAACGGGAGTCCAGTGGCGACGGGTACGGACACCTGCTCAACGCGGCGGAGCTTTCGGGGGCAACCTCGGCGCCGGAGCCAGGTTCCACAGCTACAGCAGCAGTAGCAGCAGCTGCTGTGGACACAGCAGTAGCAGCTTCAGCGGGGGCCAGAGTACTGAGCAGTAACCGAGAGTCCTCGGCGCCGCCGCCGCCGCCGGCGCGGGCCCCGCAGCCGCCGTCACCGTCGCCGTCGCCACCGTTGGATAAGCCAGCTCCGGTCACAGCGGACGCAGCCGCGGCCAGCGTAGCGGTGGCGGCGAAGCCGGTTTCGGAGCTGGCTGGGCCTCATCCGCAGCCGCAGACGTCTCTGGAATCGGGCGCGGGTTCAGACACACAAGCTCCGGCGGAGGCGCCGGCAGAGGCTGTCGCTCGCAGCGCCATCGGCTGTCTGGGAGACGGTTACGGCTATCAAGAACTGTTGGACAGCTTCATGGACCCGTGCCGGCGTGACGGCGGCCTCGGCTCGGCCGCCGCCAGCTCGACGGGCAGGTGGTCGTGTGAGGTTCCGTCGCGACTGTCGGCAGGTCAGGATGTGATTATGGCAACCTTCCAGGATATGTTGAGACCAGCTCGCGACTCGCGAGCCGGCCTTGTAGTCGTGGCGGCGGAGGCGGCGGCTTCCGGCCCGAATTCGCAGGGACCGAGCCAGCTGGACGGGCCCCGCTCGTGCGGCCCCGTCGGCAGTACGGTCCGGCAGCCGCGGCGGCAGGGTGTGTGGGATGGAGACGGGGTCACGAAGTTGGAGGCAGCTGCCGTGGCGGGCGTGCCGTGCCCTGCAGAGCCGGTCAGCAACCGACCCGTGGGTCAAGGCCAGCTGGGAGATGTGCCATCGCCTCCGCAGCAGCCGCAGCAGGAACAAGAGGTACAGCAGCACCAGCAGCAGCGGGAGCGGCTTTTCGCGGCCGACAGTGGCACTCTGCTGGCACTGGCCGACGAGTTGGAGAACGCGCTTACTGAAGGGGAGCGCCGGGCCGCCAGCAGCAACGGCGCCGCAGCTGCTACCGGCGCAGCAGGGGCCCCAGTGCAATCCTCTGGCCCTAGTGAGACCGACACCAGCACCAGGGAACCGGCGCCATCATCCCAGCAGCGCCCGGCGTCCTCCATGTCGGCGGCCTCAGGTTCCCCCGACTCCAGTGGTGCCGATCTCTCCTCTGATGGGGACAGGCCGCAGGATGCCCTGCGCGCGCTAATACCGCCGCTCAGTCGTCTGGTGCTTCAGGACGCTGCAGGCCAGGGGGTTGCCACAGCAGCCACCACGGCTGTTCATGGGGAAGGTGAAGGCAGGAGTACCAGCGACGGCAGGGGGGCGGGGTCAAGTCCGAGCTCGGGTTCGGGTAGCATGCCGGGTGGTGCTGGGGACGGCACATGCCAGAGCTTGCAAGACAGCGCGCACAGCTTGAATGAAGTTGGAATCGCCGTTGCACGCCAGCGTGGCGGTGCTTCGGTGGCGGTGACGACGCCCGCGGCGGCGGGGGCCCGGCGGTCTGAGTTTGCCGACCACGGTGGCGGTGGTGGTGCGGCAGCGGCTGCGGGACCCGAGCTGCCGCCGCTGTGGCGGGGCGCGCCGGAGTTCCCGCGGGACTTAGCCTGGCAGCCGAATGACCGCCAGCAGGTGTTGCAACAACAGCAGCGGCGGCGCAGCGGCGGCGGCGGCGGCGGCGACGCGACATCAGTGCCTGCAACGTTGTCGCCGCTCCGCGGCGATAGCGCCGAAATGTGCGAACCTGACCACCGAATGCAAGCCCGCGGCAGTCTACACGGCAAGAAGGACGGCGCTGCCAATAACGCCGCCACCGGCAACAACGAGCTTCTCGCTGACCTGGCAGATGCGGACTGCCGACGCAGCAGCTGCGGCAAGCCGCATGGAGCAGAACTTGGGGATGGGAACGAGCCGTTTGGTCGGAAGGGTCGTGACCAGTGGCCTTTGGTGGCGGAGTCTGCGACTACGGCGCCGGCGAAGTTCGGCGACAAGGACGCAGGCCACCGGAGCGACAAGCGCCCAGCGATGCGGGTATGTGGAGCTCCGGTTCGGTTTAGCTTTACTAAGGGGGTTGTTTTAGGAGGGGAAAAATGGGAGTGCCGACAGCCGACATGTTTTGAGGCTGATTCCCGCTGCATTGCTGCCTATGTCGCTACCCGTTTCGCTGATTACTACTGTTTTTGCTGTGCCGCCTGGAAGGGTGGGAGTCATATCACGCAAAAGCCCAAAAAAGCCAGACAATTAATAAGTGACTACTGACGTTCCAAAAGCGCACGGGAGGAGTGGGGGGGGAAGAGGAGCAGCCCAGCAGGCTGGGTAGTTTGCAGGCATCACGCCCAGGCCTCCAGGATATGGGGAGGCCTCCAGGATGGCCGATATCGCTACTACTGCTATGTTGCGAGGAGGCAACCGTCAGCTTGTATCCATGCTCGCGTTGCGCCACGCCAGGCTGGGGGCCCGTTGCCACTCTTCGCTCAGGACGGGATGGACGGGACTTCCACCGCCAGCGATTAGGCAGGGATGGATGGTATAGCTTTGCTGTCCTGGACATGTAAGGGCGGTGCATATTGAGGTCCTGCCATCTTTCCACCCGCCACGCCTATTTACCTCCGTCTATTGCACCATCTTCTCCCCCGTTCCCCTGCAGCAGTGTGAGTCCCCGGCTTTCCTTTCCTTATGCCCTTGGCGACGTGCGCAAACTGTGTATGTGTGTGTGTGTGCACACGTCTGTGTGTATGTGTGTGTGTGTGTGTGTGACGCAGCGCATCTCCGAGGCGGACTCCTCCGCAGACATGATTTCACGCTGCGACTCGTTCGACAGCCGGGCATCCGGGTTGAGCCACGGGAGTGGGGGCAGTGGCGGCGACGAGGACGACCCCCAGGCGCGCCGCAAGCAGCGCTTCCGCAGACGCCGGCGGGCTAGCATCCTAATTGAGGGAACAGGCAAGGCGTTCTGGATTTGGGATGAGGACCATCCGGCGCGCGAGCGGATGTACTGGTTGGTGACGCACAAGGTAAGGGGCAGGTGGTGGAGTGCTGGTTTTCGGTAGGAGTTATGATTTGAATTATGCTTGGGTCTCTGCGGTCCTGGATTTTGCCTTGCCTGCATCTTCTGCCATCGCATTTAAAATGGTCCACAACCTCTACAACTAAATTCTTCTTATCTTCATGATCGCGTTCGTGTTGTTTTTTTCCCCCGCGTCCTAACCCTCTCACCGACGCGGCCCGCACCCCACTCCTGCTATGCTGCTCCAATCCACATTTCCGGTCTAACTCAACGCAACTCAACTCAACGCAACGCAACCCACCTCAACCAACGCCTCCACACACGCGCAACACACAGCGCTTCGAGTACACGATGTTTGCGCTGATCCTGCTCAACTGCGTTAGCATGGCGCTGGAGAATCCCTTCATCCGGTCTGGCTCCGTCGTGGACAAGGCGCTGTTCTGGGCCAACGTGGGGTTCACCATCCTGTTCACCATAGAGGCCGCCGTCAAGATGTTCGCGTACACCTTCACGGCGTACATCAAGCGCATCACGAACCAGGTGCGCTATTGCGGCAGGTGCAGACAGGGCACCTGCAGACGGGGGGTCATGGATCCAAGGTGGCGTGGGAGTTGAATAGCGGGACTCATTCCCTGGCCGTCCTGCTTTTTCCTGCAGCTCACTTGCTTTCCACCTTCCCATAATCTCCCATGTCCTTGCAGGTGGACTTTGTGATTGTGGTAACCTCGTTACTGGAGATTGTTTTGGCGGCTGTGACCGATTCCGTGGATGCCGTGTCAGCACTGCGGGCCCTGCGGGCTCTGAAGCCGCTGCGTCTGCTAACTCGCTCTGCGGGCATGCGGCTGGTGTTTAAAAGCGTCACCATGAGCCTCATGTCGATGGCCAACGTGAGCATCGTGTGCATCCTTTTCTTCCTCATCTTTGCCATCCTGGGCGTGCAGCTATTTTCGGGCAGGTTTTACAGGTGTGTTGGGCTTGGGTGGGTGGGTGGGTGGGGTGGGGTGGGTGTGCAGGTGTCCGTGTGCGCATATGGCCGCTGCACTGTGCGTTATAGCATGGTGTACACAACATGACGTGACGACGGTGACGATGACGACGATTTGGAATGCGATGGGTTGTGGTCGCGGCGCTGTGAAAGAAGAACACTACACAGCGGTGTGAGTGTGTGCGCGCAGGTGCAATGATGACAGCGTATCTGGCAAGAGCGAGTGCGTGGGCAACTTTACGGACCCCTTCACCAACACTACCATGCAACGGACCTGGGAGAACGACTTCCCCAACTTTGACAATACGGGTACGTGTTCGGAGCTCGCGGGAATGGCAAGGCCGTAGAAGGGCGTATGACGGAAGGGGAAAGCAACGGGGGGCACGCGCCAAAGGGCCCGAGGAAAGGGTGCTGTGTGAACGGAGTGGGTATTTTGGCGGGGGAAGGGACGTAGGGTATGTGGTACGATCCGTGGGGCTTAATTACATGGAATCCTGTCTGTGCCTGGACTTCATAACCAAGCAGTGGCCCAATTAGGCTCCTTACTTGACCGCCCTTAAGGCGCCTGGAGCTATGGGGCTAGTCGACTGTCCCCTAACCGGACCTCCTCGCTGCCGCCAGTTGCTCATAGCTCTGTCACACAACGCATAGTTTCAGTTGGTCTGCATTTCTTTTGTCAACTTCCAACTGCATGCTCAGCTTCTTCCCTCCCCACCGCCTCACCCCAGTCCCCACGGAGTGGACCCCTTTTCTAGCCCTTTCCCTTCACCGCCGCCGCCGCCGCTGCCGTCGTCTCCTCCTCCTCTTCGTCTTTCTCCCCCCTCCCCATCAGGTAACGCGCTGCTGTGTTGCTTCATCACTGCCACCCTGAACGGCTACACGGAGATCATGATCAACGCCATGGCCGCACCTAACGAGCCTGGGGATCAGCCGCGGCGGTTTCAGAACCCAGGAGCGTTCTTCTGGTAGGTGAGGGCCTGGCGGAGGAGGAGGCGGGAAGACGGGAAGTGGCAGCGAGGGCGGAATCGTTGTTGACGCGTGACAGGGGAAGTGAGAATGTAGGCCGCCACGCGTGTGAATTGGCTGGCTTTTTTCTGCTGTCCGCGGAAACACAAGTGACGAGCCGAGCATGCATGCCAAGCTTGCGCTTCAATTCACCTGCGACAAGTAAAAAAATGTTATACACACACATACGCGCGCGCGCACACACCTCCCTCCTTTCCCCCTCCTTCCCTCCTAAAGTATGCTGCTTGCATATTTTAGTATGCTAGTAACATCCTTTGACATCCGCACTTGCACGCTCCACAGGTTCTTCGGCTTCATCGTGGTGTGCGCCTTCACGTTGCTCAACCTGTACGTGGGCGTCATCTTTTCGCAGTTTTCCAAGATCCGAATGCTGAGTGAGACCGGCAGCGCCTTCCTCACTTCGGATCAGAATGAGTGGGCGGAGCTGACCAAGATGGTGTTCAGGTGGGGAGGGGGGGAAAACGGAACGGAGGGGAGGGAGCTGTAAGGGCCGGGGTAAGGCTTGGAGGACGGAGGGTGTGCAGGGCCCAAACGTAGACACGCTGGTGCTTCCGTACGAGGACCCTTTCGCGGGGTTGCGGTCACGAGATAATCTGTTTGACGGCATACGGACCTGGGGTCCAGTTGTGGATGTGGGGACCGGGGCCGCTGCAGCGCAGCGGTGTGGGAAATTAAGCAGGGCACACAAACACATCCAGCGATCGGTCTTAAAACCTCAACTCAAAGGTTAAGCCCCCTCCCCGCCACAGCAGCAGCTTCACTCGTTCGTGGTTCGCCTTTCCCCTCCCCGCCGTCGACGCCCCTCCCCCTCCTTTCCAGATGTATTCTTTCCAATCCTTTCCAATTCTTTCCAATTCTTTCCAATTCTTTCCAATTCTGTCCAATTCTGTCCAATGAGAGACTCATTCTCCCTGCTTATCCTTTGCTTTATCCTCGCTCCCCCGCCACCTCCCCCCCCCCCGGGGTGCCACAGGCTCAAGCCGCCTGACAAGGCCCAGCTGCCCACTGGCCGTGTGCGCCGCTTCGTGCACATGATGGTGCACACCAAGTCATTCGACATCTTCGTCTTAGTCATCATCCTCATCAACGTGGGCTTCTTGGCAGCCACCTGGTATAACGAGTCCGCATCGTACACGCACCAGAAGAACCTGGTAGGTCCTTGGTGTATATCGCACGTACGTGTGTATGCATGCATGCATGTATGTATATACACGAACATGTATCGTGGATTTATGGCTTCTTTTACATCCCTGGTAACGCTTGGCCAGTCGTGTGTGCATATGTCGTGTCATGCGTGTGTCATATGGACGAGGATGTGGAGCACGGGTATATGCAAGGAGGGGACCGGGGGCGAGCCAGGGGCGTCCGGAGCTGATGTCCGCCAGGGGATGGTGCAGTGATAGCCCTGTGTGTGCGTTTGCCGGGTTTTGGTTTCAACTTATTTTGGTCCCGGCAGGCAGTCAAGAGTTTTAACGGTTGGGGTTGAGAAGAAACGCGGGGCCAGTCCAGGAGACATAGCGGAGATGCGGGGAAGAGCAGAAAGCGGGACTTTTGGAAAGGCGTGAGGGTTGGGATAGGTGGCGAGAGGACGGCAGCTTGTCGCTGCCACGTGGCCCTACTATACCACCCTCCAATCATCCCAGACCGCCATCACCACCGCCACCACCACCACCACCACAACTGAAGCCACGGGAGGTTTTACAGATTTACAGATTTACGGATTTACGGATTTACGGGCCCGCTCACACGCTTCCACGGGCCACGCCCCTTCCCGTCCCCTTTGCGGCCCCCCCTGGTGTTTTACGCCTCAGGCTAACATCATATTCATGGCCTTCTTCGCGGCGGAAGCGGCTGCCAAGATATTCGCGGTGGGATGGGTGGCCTACTTCAAGGTAAGCTGGTACCCGCGACCACACCGCAGCGGCTCGGTAGGGGTTCGAGCTCTGGGAGCCGGACGTTGTCGTGCTGGGGTTACCGTCGGGCTACCGTCCATACTTTGTACTCATTGGTTGCGTCCGCTCGCATCGTCGCACAGGTTGCCTGGAACAAGCTGGACTTTGTGCTGCTGATACTGGGCCTGCTGGATATCATCATAACCATGCTTCACAGCAATTTCCTGCGCATATTGAGGATCTTCAGGGTGCTGCGGCTGATTGCACTGGTGAGAGAGGGAGGGGGGGTTATATGTGTGCGTGTGTGTGTGTGTGGAGATATGGGGTGGATGCGAGAGTGCACGTCGGGGTTCCCCCGCGGCGATCTGGATGAGGGCGCTGGACCGATGCGAGCTCCGTAGTCCAGCCAAGTGTAAGCCTTTGTGCGTGTGTGTGTGTTGTGTGTGTGTGTGTGTGTGTGTTTAATGGTCTGAGCTACGAATGACTTCACCGAGACGACCTCCGCAGATGGTGGAATATGTGTTGCAGGAAGTTCCAAGAAGATGTTGATTGGGAGAGTGATGCCTGAGCCAGTGAAAACAAGCGGAGGCGCTGTACGTGTGTGTGCGGCATTCCACACAGCCGCCTGTGCACCATAACTGTTCCATGATGTGACATCCTTACCATGGTGCACATCATCATGCACTCATATGCTTGCACTCGTCGTTTCGTCGCGGTTATATTGGGGACGTGCCTTCTGGGGGCCTTCCTGCTTCTGCCTTTCTTCCAGGTGCGCATTGCCCACGTGGCCCAGTTGGTGAAGTCCGTGAAAGGCATCCAGTCGCTGTTCTCCACGCTGGTCTACTCGCTGCCCGCATTCGGCAACGTGGGCGCGCTCATCGGGCTGTTCTTCTTCATGTACGCCTACGTGGGCATGTACATGTTTGGCAAGGTCCAAGACGGCGAGTCACTCAGCCGACATGTCAACTTCCACAACTTTTGGCAGGTGAGGTCGCTGTGGAGGTGTAGGTGTAGGTGTAGGTGTAACGTGTGGCAGCACTGTCGGTGGATGCAAGCTGGGAACCCTCCCTTGTGATCCGTTGGGCTCGTGATCGTAAAAGTAGGTTTGATGGGTGGTGGTGGCGTGCTTTTCGTAGGAGTTTTTAATCGTTTTCGCCACGTCAGGAAGAGGTGTTCATGTCCAGCTCGCAATTCGAAACTTTTTGCCCGCTGTCTACTGTCCGCGCGCCCGGCTGGCCTGATTTGATTTGGTTTGATCTGATCTGATCTGATGCAACCTACCCCTCTGCAATCTAACCCAGGCGCTGCTGGTTCTCATGCGCGTTGCGACGGGCGACAACTGGACTGGCATCATGTTTGACTGCATGGTCCAGCCACCCTACTGCGACCGCTCCTCTGGCGGCTGCGGCACCTACCTGGCCATACCTTACTTCCTCACCTTTGTGCTGCTCATCTACGTCATTTTACTCAACCTCTTCACCGCCGTCATCATCGAGACGTTTGAAAAGACGCACGAGCAGGAGGAGTGGAAGCTGAGCCCACATGTGCGAGGGCTGGGGTCGGGGGGGACCGGCGAGGGAGGGGTCATTGACGACGAGGGCATAGCGGGGGAGCTGGTGGGCGGATAGGAGGGTGTAGGAGGGGAAAGGCTGGAGGGTGATATATGGGAGCGAGTCCATGAGCTCTTGACCCTCTGGCAATTAATGGGCGCATCGCTGCGGCCACGGCCATCCCTTCCATCGTCGCTGGTTTTGCGCCGGTTCAGGCTCTGGAGGAGTTTGTAACGTTGTGGAGCGAGTACGACGATGGATCCGGAACCATTCTGCCACGTCATTTAGAGGAGCTGTTGCTGAGGCTGGATCCGCCTCTTGGTCTGGGCCCTTATGCGGATAACAAGGACGTGCTCAGGTGGGGAGGAGCGGGGCAGCGGGTTGGGGGCGCCTCGTGGCGGAGGGTAGGTAGGTAGGTAGGTAGGTAAGGGTAAGACGAACCACTGACGATTGAAGCTGATACCAGAGGGAAGGAGGAGGCGGGGAGAGTGCTCTTCGGGGCGGATTTGAAGGAGATTGGTGGAGTGGTGGGGCTTTGCTCCCACCACCCGCGTCCGCATGCAGGAGAAGGATCCGCGCTGTTGCAGCGGCCTCTTAGCCGTTGCGACATCTATACAGTCCAGAACGGCGAGGCACCCCTTTCCAAAACCGCGGGTCCCTACCTCCTTTGCCCGCTTTCGCTCTCCCCCCTCGCCGCAGGTTCGTGTACGACCTGGACATACCGCTGGTGAACGCCCGTGTGCCCTTCCACAAGACCGCTTTCGAGCTTGTCAAGAGGTGCAGCCAGGCGACCATGCCGGAGGGTGAGCGCGGGAAGCGGCGTGTCTTGGACGACTGAGTCACGAGGATAGGGAGGCCGTGACGGGGATGCCATGACACGATCTACCTTCCCTGCCAAAGGATGAGGATTTCATACAAGCAAAACTTTACAAGAAAATGTAGTCCAGCAGAGTGATATAGACGTTAGCGCTAAATATTATGGGCAACATTATGTTCAAGCTGAGATACCTTGCGCTGTAGTACAGGCGGTGATGGTGAGCGAACCCCCGCCGGATCTGCACGAGCAGATCCGGAACGAACCCCCGTGGACCCCCGTGGACCCCCGCCGGATCTGCTCATGCCCACTGGCTAGCCAACAAATACAGCAAGGGAGGATCACAGCAATAACAGCGCGTGTGCGATGCCCACACAGAGCAGGCGGGGGCATGCCCGACACAAAACGCCGTGCGGGAGTGTACGTGCGTGTGGGTGTGTGGGCATGAGCAAAGCGATGGCGCTTGCCCTTCCCACCCACCCATCCTTAACTTTTTATATGTTTCTTCACCCAACCCCCCACCCACCCACCCACCCACTACCACCCGAATAGTCTCCTGCTGTTTCATCTAAGCCGGGCCTGGCTGTTGCTTTGCTCTGTTCGAGCTCCTGCCGGTCCCTCCTCCTTCAGCTCCAGCAGCTTCCATCGTGTGTGGCTCGTCTTTCCCTCCTCCTCCCCTCTTCTCCTGTCTCCTCGCGTGACACAGGCGCTATCAAGGAGCAAATCAACCGGTTGGTGGATAAGTTCTTCAGGGAGTTGCCCACGCAGGATGAGATGCTCAACTTCTCCGTGGCCATCACTGTCATGAAGGTGCGTGGGCGTGTCGGGGGCCAGGATTGGGCTCGACACGCCACGCACAGCGAGTCGTTGTTGCTTGCTGCCATTGTCTCTGGTGGCGTTGGGGGATGTTTTGGGGTTCTTGCTGCGGTTGCCCTCATCATCTCCTTGTCGTCGCCGTCATCACCGTCGTCATCATGATCATCATGGTCATTATCATCTTTTCACAATCATCATCATCATCATCATCATCGCAACCATCATCATCGCAACCATCATCATCGCCGGCCATAGCAAAAGCGGCAGAAGCAGAAGCAGGAATGCCAAATTTATCCCTTTTACGTTTCAAGTTGTTTTATGCTGCACACCACTCAGGATTTTCGGCCCTCACCCGCTGCAGGTCCAACGCAAGTGGCGCACCCGGATGCGGGCCTCGAAGCTGCTTCGCAAGAAGCGGTGGCGGCTGGGCCGCAAAGACGCGCCCACCTACCCCGAGATATGCGGTAGCAAGGCGCTCGTGGCGGAAAAGTGAGAGCGGACTGAGCATTGACATGGCGTGGTGCAGGAAGGGGAGGGAACGGTTGTCTGACAGCAGCTGCTGGATCGGCCAGGGAGAGAAAGGCGGAGGAGGTATAATCAGATTAGACCTCCTGACTGCCAGGAACCTGGCACAAACACAGAAGACTGCTACTAGTCACAATGCAGATCGGCCGGGTGCTGTAGTCAAGAGGACTGGATGGATGCCCCGTACACAGGTTGCAGTGCAAATGGCTACGTCGTGTCCGCTGCCGCTGCCGCTGCTGCTGCTGTCACTGATCCACCCTGCTCGCCACCTCCTCCTCCTCCTCCTCGTCGTCGTCTTCTGGCTTTATAACTGCAGGTTCGAGGCTCACCGGGAGGCCCTCCGGGAGGGCGCAAAGGCGTGGGAGGTGGCCCAGCAGGCCTACAACCGCAAGCCGGAGAAGGCCGAGGTGGCGCGGCGCATGGAGCCCCGGTGGCGCTTCAGCACCAAGTACGCGCCGCCCGCCCTGGTGACTGCGACCAGCGAGAAGACCGGTCTGCTGGGGCTCGGCAAGCGGGTGGTCAATGTCAACAAGATCATGGGTGGATTGCTGCGCGTGGGAGGGCTGCTGGGCGGCGGAAGCAACGGCAACACGGAGAGCGGCGGACCGGTGCGCTCCCCGCAGGCTACCTTGAGCGGGGAGCAGTCCGGGATCATGTGGGCCTCGCCGGTCGGGCTACAGCACGGCGGCGGCGGCGGCGGCACCGGCGGCGGCGATTTGAGTGTGACGAGTCCGCTGCCGCGGCTGCTGCGCGCCATCGCACAGGGGGGGGGCAACCGTATGTCGTACAACGGCGGTGGCGGTGGCATGTTGAGCTTCTCGGCGGTGCCACCACCTGAGTTTGGATCGATCGGCGGCTCCCGCCGGCGGCTGGTGGGGGCTGGCGGCGGCCTGGGTATGGACGCATCCGTCTCAGAGGGGGCTGGTTCTCGGACGTTGCAGCCGTCCCTGAGCTCGTCACAAATGATGCCTTCTCGTCGGCTCCCTCGGGTGCCATCCAACGATGGCGGTAGCGGCGGCGATGGGGGAACACTCCCCGGCGGCGCCTCCCGAGGCAACTGGTGAAGGTGTTCAGCGGAATTGCGAACATGGTGGTGGCGACAGTTGGCGGCTCGGTGCGAATGGCTGCGGGAGAACCCCCCTGGATTTTGCAGCACGTGAGGCAGGATGGGGTTGTGGATAGACATATATACACACCACCAGACGCAGCAGCAGCGCGATGACTCGTGCAGGAGCAATAACCGCAGCTGCTCGGCTGTTGGGCAGGGGCTCGTTAACGGCCTCACGGTCGGTTGGCCCATGTTCTCGTGGCGTTGAATAAGATTAAGAGACATAGTATCACGAACTGGCGATGAAGAGCGTGTTTTAAACGCGGGGGCCCGGGCCTGGGGCCGGGACCGGGCTCAGGTCCTGTGGCCTTCTTCGTTATGTGTGGCCTTCGTTATGTGTGTGTCAGGGGCCCCAGCGGCAGCGGCGTTGTGGAGGGGGGTTTGTGTACTTCGCAGGTTGTCCATCGAGCACCCGAAGAACGGCCCCGAGGGCAAGAGCCCTGACGCGTGGAATAAAGATGGGGGTTGTGCAGACCACCGGGCAGCCCCGGGGTACCTGCCCTGATCCTTTTCGCTTCGAGCGGATCTAAGCAAGCTGCTCGAGTTTATCTAGCAAGGGTCAGGTGCGTAAACTTGTACGCGTGTGTATTTATGTGTATGCGTGTTGTTGTGTGCTTCGTTTCAGCCGTCGTGTTTTAGGAGGAGACGATAGCGCCGAGCTTGCGATCACTTGCCTTGCGCATGCGTGTGTGTGTGCATGCGTGTGTGTGTGTGTGTGCATGCGTGTGTGCATTTAAGCGTGTGCTTGCGTGTGCGTGCTTGCGTGTGTACATGTTCATGTGCGTGCGCGCTTGCTTGGAACCGGCCTCTGTGAAAAGAGTCGTTGCAGGAAATGGACTCAACCCAATCCGCGTAGGTTCCACTCACCCAGCTGCCGGACATTTAACCTTCGAGTGCATACGAATTGCGAGGCGAGAGTGGAGGAGAGGGTTTGGAAGAAACACAGAGGCGCGATGGCGCATACGCCGAATATGGAATGGGTTGACACAGCTGTGGAGGGGCCGCAACATGTCGATGAGGACATCTAGAAGAATTCATTCGTACTATGAATTTCATTTGCGTCAAACCCGCCAGCAGCGGCGCGCGTCTGGTGTTCAAGGCGGTGTTGTATCAGGGTTGTGAGGGGCCCTGTTGTCTGGATGGTGACTCTGGGGGCAGAGGGTGTTGGTGTTTGGGGTTGGGGTGGGGTTGGCTTGGGTTGGGTGCTCCTTTAATGTGCCATAATTGGGGCGTTCTGTAGGGTTTGTCATGTTCCCTCACGCCCTCAGCGGTGTTAGCCCTCAGGCCCCCTTTAGTCACTTGGACAGGGGGTCGTCTGATGTCTTCTCTCGTGACGGGGAGTGTAGCCTGCATGCGAGCGTAGACGCAGCGCAACAGCAGCAAATAGCGGCAGCAGCGGGTAAAGGATATAGAGGACGCTCCAGTCTTGGGGGTGCTTGATTTTGCGTGATCAGGGCCTCGGTCTTGGACGTGGCTGGGCCGAGTCCGTCGGAGCGCGGGAAAGAGGATAGGCAGGCGAGGCAGGACGGGCATGCTTAGCGGCCGGACGTCTACTCGCTAGGTGTTGTGTCCCGTCCCGCACGCAGTTTGGCAGTATACAGCGGCCAGCGTGCTGGATTCAGGGGGGAGCCCCAAGCTCCCATCCCCAGGCAATAAGGGCGGGCTGTTGATAACATTACTGCAATACTGTTGTTGTTGTTGTTGTTGTTGTTTCGATTGCTGGAACAGAAAGGCAGTTGCAACTGGCAGGGCTGACAAGTTTGGCAGCAGCCTGGTTTCTGCGTGTTCAGTCCTAACAAGCGAGACGATGATGCATGCGTATGGGCATGGGCAATTCATGGCCTCCGGGCCGGCAACGGATCTGTGTGAGGGCTTAAGAAGGCTTGCGTATTATTGTCTTTCACCCTTCGGTTTACAGTGCGGTGATGATGGGATCGCGTACACTAAATTAATGGTGGGTTTGTGTCATTGCAAAAGGAAGTGATGTAGTCGTGATGCCTTTCGCAACGCTCCCTCGGGGTATTTTAAACCGGTTTGTCGCGCGCACAGGCGATCGCTACTTGCATGGATTATTCATTGATGCTTTGGATGGGGGTTTAATGTCGTAATAAATGTGTTTGCTTGAGTTTCAAGTCTGGATGCGGTGTGCCTTAGTTGCAATGACGAAACCTGGTTTCGGAGAGCGCGTTGTACGGGCGCACACGTGACTTGTTGCTTCGCGCGGCTGTTGCTATTCCCCGAGCTGTTGCGAGACTATTTTGCCACAGATGGATTTTTAGTCGCAGGCGAAGCGCGGTCCACCCACATGCGCGGGCATACGCGCGGGTCGCGCATGATTCTGTAGTGGACCGGCCCACGGGTCAGGAAATGCCGGTTGAAAGCCGTGTCGCGGTGATTTTGAGGTGGCCTACAAAGTGAGATGCTATAAGCTTCGTGTGGGAAACGAACGTGTGTTGACACCAGGTAGGCCTGAGCAGCCCTGCGCGGAGTAGCTGAGCAGGGCAAGTTAAACACAAGCCTAGCAGTGACTAGGAGGACTTCCGCGCGGATCAGCGCTTAAAGTAGCATGGGAATGCAGAATTACCATAGTGCTAACGAACTCAATATCCAAGCACACGCCTCCAAAACTTCGGCTATCCCGTCAACCTTCCATACTACGAAACATGTCAACAGGTAGGCCACGATGGGGAAGAAGCATCTATACACAAGTGCTATGGGGCGACTCGGTTTTGCAGGCAACGTCCCGCTCGTCCCTATCCTTCTAACGCAAAAAGATAAACTCAAAGGAGGTATTCAATTTGATGACGGCAAGAAGGCCACATTTCTCTTTGTATAGGTAGGCCTCCACGCCTCCCGGTCACAGCATGCATCATTATGTCCTATAGCCTTCATGGCTTGCTGTACGGTTGCGTTCGGGGTGTCGGATAGGACAGGGCGAGGCGAAACCGGGGCTGCCAAGGGCCTTACACTACTGCAGAGTACTAATTGCTGCTCTCGGAGCGCCAGGGCGCGTGTGCGCCGAAGCGCGGTCTAGCGCCACACGGCGCGGTCTGAGCGCGCGCAGCGCTGTCCAGCGCGGCCACACCGGCACGGCCGAAAGAACTGACGCACAGCACTAGACAACTAAACGCAGCATTAATGACTGCGTCCACTGGTCACCCGCCCCGAGGGCAAACCTGAAGCGTCAGCGACGCACGAACCACACCCTGGCCAGCGGGGCTGGCCAGGCGACATTCCTAGCGCGCGACGATACTCTATAGGCACTTATTTGCCGTGCGGTAATCGCTGTACAGCTGCACGTCCGGCGCTCCGAGGGGACTGCCTAATCACCGGTCTCCAACTGGGCCGAGCCTGCCGCTTATAAACGAGGGACACTGAGGGCGGGGGGGGGGAAC